AACGATGTGACAGTGATCTCCAAGCACTGCTCTCCTGCTCTGGAATATCTTTTCATTCATTGTAAACCATATTACTCCCCGCGGGAAATTGTTTTCATTCATTCTTGCCTCTGTTTACATACCGCCATGCGCGGACGCGCGCGAGGCTCAGCGCGCACTCGCAGAGCAAGTACTGTGTATGGAACGCTTATACCCGGACTCTCTGATTATTATCCTGGGGGATTTTAATAAGGGAAACTTGAGCCAGGAATTACCCAAATACAGACAGTTTATCAAATGCCCGACCAGAGAGGAGAACACTCTGGATCACTGTTACACCACCGTGCGCGGAGCTTTTCGCGCTGTTCCCAAGCCAGCCCTCGGCTTCTCAGATCACTCCATGATACATCTGGTTCCTGCTTACAGACAGAGACTAAAGCTCTCGAAACCTGCAGTGAGGAGCTCCAAAGTGTGGTCTGATGAAGCTGTGGAAGAGCTGCGCGCATGCATGGAATCTACAGACTGGGACCTTTTCAGAGCTGCCACAGACAGCTTGGATGAATATACGGACACTGTGACGTCATACATCCACTTCTGTGAGGATAGCATCATTCCAACAAGGACCAGGGTCATCTATAACAACGACAAACCCTGGTTCACTGCTAAACTCCGGCAGCTCAGGAAAGCAAAGGAGTCTGCTTTCAGGGAGGGGGACCGCAGCGGCTACAAAGCAGCTAAATATCAGTTCAGGAAAGAACTGAAAGCAGCCAAGTCCCGGCACAGAGAACGACTACAGGAGCAGTTTGGTAACAACGATACTGCTTCTGTCTGGAGGGGCCTACGGGAGATCACCAACTACAAACCCAAAGCCCCCCCCTGTGCTGATGACCACAAGCTAGCTGACGATCTGAACTTATTTTTCAGTCGCTTTGATGCTGCCCCTGACACCTCTCCCTCCCCCACCCCCCACTACTCTAACGACCCACCCATCAGCCCTGCCCCCAGCCTAACAATAGCCGCTAAAGAGATTAAACAACTCTTCCTGAGGCTGCACCCCCGCAAAGCTCCTGGCCCGGACCACGTGTCTCCGGCCACTCTGAGACACTGCGCCAGTGAGCTTACTCCTGTGTTCACGGACATTTTCAACTCCTCTCTGCAGTCCTGCCATGTCCCGGCCTGCTTCAAATCCTCCATCATTGTCCCCGTCCCGAAGAAGCCCAGGATCACAGGACTCAATGACTACAGACCTGTAGCACTTACGTCTGTCGTCATGAAGTCATTTGAACGCCTGGTTCTCTCCCATCTCAAGTCCCTCACCTCCCCCCTCCTGGACCCCCTGCAGTTCGCCTACAGAGCCAACAGATCTGTAGACGACGCCATTAACCTGGCCCTCCACCACATCCTACAGCACCTGGACTCCCCGGGGACCTACGCCAGGGTCCTGTTCGTGGACTTCAGCTCTGCCTTCAACACAATCCTGCCATCCCTGCTCCAGGACAAGCTCTCCCAGCTCAACGTGCCCGATTCCACCTGCAGGTGGATCATTGACTTCCTGACGGACAGGAAGCAGCGAGTGCGTCTGGGGAAGAATGTCTCGGACTCTCGGATTATAAATACAGGAGCCCCACAGGGCTGTGTTCTTTCTCCCCTGCTCTTCTCCCTGTACACCAACCACTGCACCTCCAGCCACGACTCCGTGAAGCTGATCAAGTTCGCGGACGACACCACCCTCATTGGACTCATCTCCAACAACGATGAGTCCGCCTACAGGAGGGAGGTGGACCGGCTGGTGTCCTGGTGCAGTGGTAACAACCTGGAGCTGAACGCCCAGAAGACAGTGGAGATGATTGTGGACTTCAGGAAGAGCACTGTCCCCCCGCCCCCACCCTCCGTGATGGACTCCCCCATCACCTCTGTGGAGTCCTTCCGTTTCCTGGGCACCACCATCACCCAGGACCTCAAGTGGGAGCCGACCATCAGCTCCCTCATCAAGAAGGCCCAGCAAAGGATGTACTTCCTGCGGCAGCTCAGGAAAGCCAAGCTGCCTGCACAGATGTTGGTGCAGTTCTACACGGCCATCATCGAGTCCATCCTCACCTCCTCCATCACCGTGTGGTTCGCTGGAGCCACAGTCAGGGACAAACAGAGACTACAGCGCATTGTGCGCTCTGCAGAGGAAGTGATCGGCCGCAGCCTTCCATCGCTGCAGGACCTGTACGTCGCCCGAGCTCGAGGCCGGGCTGGTCGTATCACAGCCGACCCCTCTCACCCTGCACATGGACTATTCCAACCACTCCCCTCAGGCAGGAGGCTGCGGTCCATCAGGACTAGAACCTCCCGCCACAAGAACAGTTTCTTCCCCTCTGCTGTTGGACTCTTGAACACTTCTTAACCTGTCCCCCCGCCCTTTATAAAGTCACTTTACTGCCCATCATACGTCACTTTACTTCACTGTACTGCTGTCACCTTACATTGTGTGCACCATGTGCACTTGTATATTGTAAATAGTAACTGTAACTCTATTTTAAATTTAAATTTATTCTTTAGAAGTGTTTTTTATTCTTATTTTTATTATCTCTTTTTGACTGTTGCACTGAGCCAAAGCAATTTCCAAGTCTGTGACCTCCCGTTACTTACGTTGGCAATAAAAATGATTCTGATTCTGATTCTGATTAAGTAGATTTCTAAGAAGTCCCCACGTGGGATTCATCAACGCACTCGTAAGCCGCTGAATTGTTCGCAGCTGTTCTCTCAGATTGATGAATCCCATTTCCTCGTAAGTACAGCGCGCGTGCCAGGTGCTTCATTAGCATAGGTACTTAGCATAAGTAACCGCCCACTAATGCCCATATAAGGGACTGCAGGGCCGTGTGCAGACGGCAGAGCTACACAGAGCAAAAGAGTCACCCTTTTTTCTTCTTTTACCAGACTGAGAATAAAGTTATAAAATGTTGACTTAAAAGTCGAAATATTATGATAATAAAGTCGAACTAGCAAAATTATGAGATTAATCTAAGAATATTTTGGACCCTGGGAGGAGATCCAGCGCAGACCAGCGCTGAGACCAATGCAGACCCGAGGAGAGACTGGAGTGACCAGCACACAGAAACCAGCGCGGACCTATAGGAGAGACCGCATAGACTGGAGTGACCTGACTGGAGAGACCGGTGCGCAGAGACCAGCGCGGACCGAAGATAGACCGCATAGACCAGACTTGAGAGACCAGCGCGGACCCGGATCCAGGAGCATGCAGCACGGACCCGTGTGGAGAGAGACCAGTGCAGACCCGTCTAGATCCATGGGAGAGACCAGTGCAGACCAGTATAGATCCATGGGAGAGACCAGTGCAGACCCGTCTAGATCCATGGGAGAGACCAGTGACCAGTATAGATCCATGGGAGAGACCAGTGCAGACCCGTATATGGGAGAGACCAGTGCAGACCCGTCTAGATCCATGGGAGAGACCAGTGCAGACCAGTATAGATCCATGGGAGAGACCAGTGCAGACCCGTATAGATCCATGGGAGAGACCAGTGCAAACCCGTATAGATCCATGGGAGAGACCAGCGCAGAGACTCAGCGCGGACCCATAACCTCCTGCAGCAGCAGTATATATGCCGTTGTTCTGTGGCCCGTGGATAAAGAAATGCCCCCTATAAATAGGAAGGGGTCACTAATACACGGCAAGATTTCCAATGTATTTGATAAAGCGTTGGCACATTTCATTTCAAAATGAATTAAAAAGTAGGCCAGATCTGCAGTGAAAAAGGCGGTATATAAATAAAGATTACTAATAAAGATTACTACAAATAAATAAATACATACATCGATATGACGGACATATCACTGGAATGTTGTATTTTTATTCAACTTCACCAAAGAGGACGACCCCGGCGTGTGAACATGTCGGCACTGAATGCGTACGAGTGCTCCTGAGGACTCGTAGGATTTGTACTTGCCCAAGAGAAATTCTGGTTACGAGAAATATTCGTGAATGCCACTTTCTTCGTAAAAACCGCGTAAGTAGGATTTACGTACAAATCTGTTCCTAAGAACCGTTCGTGAGAGACCCAATGTGTTTTTGGCCTGTTCTAGAGCCAGGAACCATTGACATAGATTATATCACTAAGTTCTGTAGTTGTGGTCGTGTGGGAGTTACTTACCCCAGCTTTAATATTCGCGCCAAAACCATTCCACTTCTAAATGGTATAATCTTTCTCAGCAGGACGCAGTAGCTGAGGCCGCGCCGTGAGCAGAGGTGAGTGCACCGGGGAAAGACTTATCCGATTATAACGCTACGTACACGGGTGTAAATATGTGTGTGTAAGTAAGTAAGTAAGTTTTTATTTATATACCGCCTTTTCACTGCAGATCTGAGTCTCAAAGCGGTTTACAATTGTTAATTTTGGGCATTTGTCTCTCACTCCACACAGAGATGGGAGCAGAGTCGCCAGTACAGGAGGCGCATGCTAGAACTATTGGACATATTTTTAGTGGTAGGGGAAACCGGAGTACCCGGAGGAAACCTACGCAGACACGGGGAGAACATGCAAACTCCACTCAGAAAGGCCCTGGTCCGACCGGGATTCGAACCCAGGACCTTCTTGCTGAGAGGCGAGAGTGCTATCCACTCAGCCACCGTGCCGCCCAGTGTGTGGATTCCAAACAGCTGCTGCCTAAACACTAGACAGCGGGAGATTTTTCTTTCTTTTCTCCGTGTCACAACAACTATAGGTGCAATGTATCATAATAAAAGAAAAGTGGTTTCTCACGGGACAATACTGCACATACAACGCTGTACTTGTTAAAATTATGGCTCTCTGGTCTCTGTTGTCCTGGTTACTCACGTCATGGCTTGAGAAGACTTTTTTTGAAAGTGGGAAGTTTGTTATGACCCTTTTTTGGACACGTTACAATCTTACCACATTGAAAAGCCGACACAGGTTCAACCAACACGCCAACCTTGCCCACTGTGGTCCCTTTCCCGCACTGTTCTACACGGTGGAGGTTCTAACACTCACAGTTTCCGCGGTGAGAAAAGCCTCCTCCTGCCGCAGCACCAGCAGTGACACAGCTCCACCCATAGGTGTCGCTCTGAGCAGAGACACCACCTCCTCCTGCGTGCAGCCGTTTAGCTCCACAGAGTTCACCTGAAGAAGACAGAAGAGCAGGATTTCAGCCGCAGTGTGACATCACCTCAGTGCTAGCCCAATGCAGAAGAACATAAGCCATAAGCGAGCTGGAGCCAATTTCCAGGTTTGGGCATTTCTTCCAACGACGTTAGCTTCATGCCGTAACATGGCTGCTAATGTACAGTAACAGTCAAGATAAGAGCAGTTAAATCTTGGAAAATTGAACCAGAGAATCTGTGAATTTCTGTAGATCAAAAAATGTAAGTGCAGCTATTCTAATGCTGATTATTGATTGTTGTGTAGGCAGTAGAAGGATCAGAAAGCAAGGAGAAGGCAAGACAAACCAGACACACTCAACTAAGGTGGAGTTTCCCCCGTGAATGAAGGCATCTGATTGGTCAACTGTTATGGGTAAAATTTTGATTTACAGAGACAATTTTAAAAATACACCGACCAGGATCATTGAGGGGGCTAAACTGCCAATTTTTTACTCCAAAATGGCGAGCGACACAGAAACAGTTACTGATCAAGATAAGTCACTTTCAAAACAAGTCAATAGGAGCCAGAGCGAGTTAGAGCCAACTGTTATTGGGCCTCAGCTAGCTAGCGGTTTAACATTGTTCATTTATAAAGTATATGGTTCTGGGACATACCCTGTTCTATAATCACTGGTACAACTGACCTCCAGCAGCCGATCTCCTGCCTTCAGTCGACCATCTTGGATAGCGGCGCCTCTCGGCAGGATGTTCTTTACGTAGATTGGGGCGGAGCCTCCAACTGGAACGTCTCTGGAGGTGATGCTGAAGCCCAATCCCTCTGGACCTGAGGGGGAAAAGCGCTTCAGATATAAGTAATACTTTAATGGCGGGAGGACTGTCACTTCCTAACTTTAAATTGCACCAATTGAGGAGAAGGATAAACCAGAGAAAACCTACACAGGTAGAACAAGCAAACTCCACTCAGAAAGGCCGGGAGCTTGTGTTGGGAAGCGAGCGAGCGAACCAGCCACCGTTACCAGACTTCTCTCTGTCCCTCACCACTCACCACCATTACTTACACCTCTAATGCCATGTTCACCATTACTTACACCTCTAATGCCATGTTCAGACCAGATCATGCATTGGCATTCAATGCAAAGTCAATGGTGACGCGCGTGTGCACGGACTGCTCAGTAGAGACGCACGGACTGCTCAGTAGAGACGCACAGGCTGTTCAATAGAGACGCACGGACTGCTCAGTAGAGACGCACGGACTGCTCTGTAGAGACGCACGGACTGCTCAGAAGAGACGCACAGACTGTTCGGTAGAGACGCACGGACTGCTCTGTAGAGACGCACGGACTGCTCTGTAGAGACGCACGGACTGTTCAGTAGAGACGCACGGACTGCTCTGTAGAGACGCACGGACTGCTCAGTAGAGACGCACGGACTGCTCTGTAGAGACGCACGGACTGCTCGGTAGAGACGCACGGACTGCTCTGTAGAGACGCACGGACTGCTCGGTAGAGACGCACGGACTGCTCTGTAGAGACGCACGGACTGCTCGGTAGAGACGCACGGACTGCTCGGTAGAGACGCACGGACTGCTCTGTAGAGACGCACGGACTGCTCTGTAGAGACGCACGGACTGTTCAGTAGAGACGCACAGACTGCTCAGTAGAGACGCACAGACTGTTCAGTAGAGACGCACAGACTGCTCAGTAGAGACACACAGACTGTTCAGTAGAGACGCACAGACTGCTCAGTAGAGACGCACAGACTGTTCAATAGAGACGCACGGACTGCTCAGTAGAGACGCACAGACTGTTCAGTAGAGACGCACAGACTGCTCAGTAGAGACGCACAGACTGCTCAGTAGAGACGCACAGACTGTTCAATAGAGACGCACGGACTGCTCAGTAGAGACGCACGGACTGCTCTGTAGAGACGCACGGACTGCTCAGAAGAGACGCACAGACTGTTCGGTAGAGACGCACAGACTGTTCGGTAGAGACGCACGGACTGCTCGGTAGAGACGCACGGACTGCTCGGTAGAGACGCACAGGCTGCTCAGTAGAGACGCACGGACTGCTCTGTAGAGACGCACGGACTGTTCAGTAGAGACGCACAGACTGCTCAGTAGAGACGCACGGACTGCTCTGTAGAGACGCACGGACTGTTCAGTAGAGACGCCCAGACTGCTCTGTAGAGACGCACGGACTGTTCAGTAGAGACGCACAGACTGCTCAGTAGAGACGCACAGACTGTTCAGTAGAGACGCACAGACTGCTCAGTAGAGACACACAGACTGTTCAGTAGACGCACAGACTGCTCAGTAGAGACACACAGACTGTTCAGTAGAGACGCACAGACTGCTCAGTAGAGACACACAGACTGTTCAGTAGAGACGCACAGACTGCTCAGTAGAGACGCACAGACTGCTCAGTAGAGACGCACAGACTGTTCAGTAGAGACGCACAGACTGCTCAGTAGAGACACACAGACTGTTCAGTAGAGACGCACAGACTGCTCAGTAGAGACACACAGACTGTTCAGTAGAGACGCACAGACTGCTCAGTAGAGACACACAGACTGTTCAGTAGAGACGCACAGACTGCTCAGTAGAGACGCACAGACTGTTCAGTAGAGACGCACAGACTGCTCAGTAGAGACGCACAGACTGTTCAGTAGAGACGCACAGACTGTTCAGTAGAGACACACAGACTGCTCTGTAGAGACGCACGGACTGCTCTGTAGAGACGCACGGACTGCGCCGGAAAGTCAAAGGGGAGGTGCAGGAGCGGAAAATTTACGTACGCAGGAGATAAACATTGCTGAACGCTTCCTCGGACGTTTCCTCAGACTTCTTGTCTGAAGAACCCAAGCATCTGAAAACTGGAGAATGTGCGTCTGGTGAGCGAGGCTTCAGCGTTCCAGCGTGCTATTGCTTATTCGTTAATTTAAAAAGATGTTACACATTATTTTAAAATCATAATGAGCTGGAAAAATATCTTCAGAAATTTTTGGGTGAAACAAGTATGAAGGATTAAAAATGCTTTTTGCTTGTAACTCCCTCTGCTGCCACCAGAGGGAGGCTCACAGACATGTGATTGTAAAAAACATGTCACCTCATCAAAACTAACTTGCATTTTTAAAAGGCACAACACTGCTGATGTCATAGTGGTACAATGACATCAAGCTATTACAGGACTGAGATAGGGGCTTGTTCGTTCAGACCGGACCATGTGGCGTTCCGACCGGACCATGTGCTGCGCACAAATATTTGCATGTGCGTTGTGGCACGCAGGTTTGGTCTGGTGCGGCGGACTCGTTCTTGCGGTGCATTGTTGAACTTTTTCTGCCGGACGCACGTGCTGCAACCAATGACAAAGCAGCAAAGTGGTCACAACGACAAAAGAGGACAAAGAGACCTGCCTCAGACCTGCCTCAGACCTGCCTCAGACCTGCCTCAGACCTGCCTCAGACCTGCCTCAGACCTGCCTCAGAGGGTCTCATCTCATCTCTGCAGCGCTTCATCAGGACTCTGGCCCCGGAGGAAACAAGCATCACATCCTGTTTTTAATTTAATCTGAGCTGCGTCCCTCGGGGTTTAAAGCGTTTTGTTTCAGAGAGAAGAGAGCAGCGAGGTCTGGTCTCAGGGAAACACCGGAGACACTCATTCACCGTTTATTACAGTGGACTTTAAGACATCGCTTAATGAGCCATGTGGCAGAAGATTATCCTGAAATGTATCCTTTGACATGATGGAAGAAAGAGGCAATATTTGAATGATAAAAGTAACAAAAAGACTAACTATCTGTTCTCGAGGTTGAACAAGTGATGAAAAAGAAAACTAAAACAGCCCCTTCCTCTCTCTGAGCTCGTTATGAAGCAGAGATGATTATGATAATTATCACCTGCATTTCCTGATGGAGCAAATAAGTAATCAGCCACATCCTCCGCTGAATAAGTCCTGGTTTAGACCTGCTTTAGACCTGCTTTAGACCTGCTTTAGACCTGCTTTAGACCTGCTTTAGACCTGCATTAGACCTGCATTAGACCTGCATTAGACCTGCATTAGACCTGCTTTAGACCTGCTTTAGACCTGCTTTAGACCTGCTTTAGAGCTGCTTTAGACCCGCTTTAGACCCGCTTTAGACCTGCTTTAGACCCGCTTAGACCCGCTTTAGACCCCGCTTTAGACCCGCTTTAGACTAGACCCGCTTTAGACCCGCTTTAGACCCGCATCAGACCCGCATTAGACCCGCATTAGACCCGCTTTAGACCCGCTTTAGACCTGCTTTAGACCTGCTTTAGACCCGCATTAGACCTGCTTTAGACCCGCTTTAGACCTGCTTGACACTTCTCTTAGGCTGATGTGGCAGGGCAGTTTGACTGGATTTAACAGCCTTTACTCGTAATACTTTTACATAAACGTTACATAAACGTTACATTAATTTTCCTCAAACTCCAGAAACCAAACTCTTCCAGGAGAAACAGATTAACTCCACTCAGATTATAGGGAATTGTGTTTGTATCTTATTGACACATTTTCTCATAAATATAAATCCGCACGAGACTGGGAAACTAGGGAACGCTAACCCCAAACAGGATTAAAGAGAATTAACTGGATCCAACTGATGTTTCGGTGAAAACTCTCCCACGATACTGAACCAGGACTGAACCCGGACTGAATAAGGTCTGGATCAGGTCTGGATCAGACTCGGGAGCAGATGGGGCAGAATCCTGTGACACCACGGCACAGATGCTGCTGAATATTTGATCAGTGTTTGGAGTGACGGGTCTGAACCGGAGCCAGAGTTCTTCAGTTCAGTGATTAAAAACCCAAACAGTTCTTCTATCCGCTGTCTCTCGGTCCGGTCCAGTAAAAACACTTTTTTCCATCTACAAGACTCTGACCTTTCTGCAGTTGGATGTTCAGTCTTCGCCCGATCCTCTTGGATACACCCCCTGCGCTGTGAGTGGTGGCGGTTCTGTGGGGGGCGTGGCCTGATGGCGGCTTGGCGGCGGAGATGACCGGAGGGTGGGACATCATGGCAGCGTGTGTGGGGGGGTGAGAGGGGGGGTCCTGGGGCGCTCGGTGAGTCTCCAGCGCCGAGAAGGAGTCAGGGCTGAAGAGGAAACAAAGGTTTAAAAAGGTGACAGTCCCTCCCCTTGTCTACTTACTACGACCCGTAAGATTTGTTGGAAGAGAAAAGTTGAACCAATGACGACAGGCCTCAAGGATTTGAATCAGGAATAGGGAAGTAACGTTAGTGAAAATATAGTACAACAGCAAGTATCTGCAGCTTGGGATCAAACCCAAGCTGCCAGGACCAAGTACGCTGTTCACATTGGCTCATGCTCGCACCATGGAACACCCCTCCCACTGGGGCGACAGCGGCTCAGTTGGCAGAGCATCGGTCTTTGAGCCTGAAGGTTGTGGGTTCGAGCCCACCGGGAGACCTTCTCCACCGACTTCACTGATGTTGTTGTGTCACTTTGGCTATAAGGAGCGCAGAGGTAATGTTCGCTGCATGCCTTGATGTATTCATCAAACCACAATTGAAACAGCGTTCTGATCAATCAGAGAACCACTGAGTGACCAGAGGCAGACCAGAGAGATACCAGAGAGAAACTAGACACCAGAGTGAGAGACCAGAGAGACCAAATCTAAAACTGATGCATTTTCTTTTTGTAAGCTCAGCATGACAAGAGACACCTCCTCACAAACACTGAGGTCTAATATTCTCCTTACAGTCCTTGCAGTACCGCAGGTTGCTCCTTGTCCACGGGTTTAATCAGCAACACTCTGTCCAGATCCAGATAATATAATACATCCAGGATCAAACCCCAGCAGCGTTTTAGTTTCTCAGATTGAAAAGTACCTTAACATTCATTTTAAATGCAAAACTGAACATTGTATTGGCACTTTCAAAGCAGCAATATTCCACCAAGATCACATTTAAGACACAATGGAGAGATCTGGTGAACTTTGGGGTAGTATTGCACAGTTATTCCAATGTGGTTTTACTGCAAATTAATCCTTGAAGTCTATTTTATGTAATACACACCTGCTGTATCCTGCTGATATGTGGGTGTGTCCCGGGGATATGTGGGCATGTCCCGGGGATATGTGGGCGGGGCTAAAGCGCTCAGACGGGGCGGGGCTGAAGCGTTCCGAGGGGGCGGGGTTTGTGAGCTGCTCGTACTCTGACTTCATGGAGGATGGAACCACGTGGAACAAGATGAGCGGAGAACGCATGGCGGCGCGGAACATGTTCTGAGCTCTGGAAGAGAAAAGGGAGGTGTTAAACAAGTGAAATGTGTATAAATCAAGTTTGGGTAATAAGAATACATTACAAAATGATCAAATATTAGTGAAGAAATTCTTGAATTAAGTCGTTTTGTGTCTTAAAGATAATTGTTGTATTGTCCCTGTATAGCAAAGTTGCCAAAGGAAGTTGTAATTTATTCTCAGTGGGAAATAGCTTGGAAATGTTTGCTCCAACTGTGCTTAAAACCAGGCAAAAGGTCTCCAAGATGTCTGTCCATTCAGATCAATGGCCTGTGTTCATTGGTTCACGTTTGCTTCATGGATGTCCCAAACATTAGCAGAAGTGATGTGTTCTGGCCAGTTCTGGTTCTCCTGGTGTTGTGCAGTGGTTCTACTTCCAAAGGACCAGAGTAACAAGCGAGTCTTCTGACCAATCAGAGGGCTGCTGAGAGACCCGAGAGAGACCAGAGAGTGAGATCAGAGAGAGACTAGAGAGATCAGAGAGAGAGCGCATAGAAAGAGTCCAGACCACAGAGGGACATGTGAGCGTTCCGACCAATTGGAGCAGGATGACAGAGAGCAAAGTTTGCACAAAAGTGTGGATTTAAAGAAAACCAATAGATTTTGATTGTGAAAAAAGTTCAGAACAAGGGACACAGAAATCCCCACAAAACCCTTATTTGTGAAAGCTGTAGTTCCCTGTCTCTGAGGACGGGCCGTTTTCGTGAACACTTTAGTTCTATGGAGAAATACCCAGTCCATGTGGATTTGGACTGCAGTACCGCGGGTGGCCTCTAATCCATGTGGAGACTGGGTTAAGCAGCAGCACCATGTCTAGATGTTTGTTAGTTCATTTCATATTGAAGGGACAGTGTGCATTAAGACATGTTCTACACCAGATTATAGCTCGACAGACAAATAGCCTGGTAGATTAGGGGTTGGAATTAGCCAGAAATGTGACAATATTTGGGCAAAAATCTAATATTATTGTGTTTCTTTATATATTGTGATACAGCAAGTATTGTAATTCGATTCTGCAATATATTACAATACATGTCCCTCATCTTATTCAAAGGCATAGTGCAAATTAAATATTGGGAAAACGACTGCATCAATTTAATTACGTGCACAAATTATCGCGATACAAAGAGGAATAATTTTATTCCCCCATCACCACTGAAGACACTTGTTCCAATATCAAGTATCAAGCAATTTTAGATTAATTCTTGTCTTTGAGAGCAGTTTAATGTTTTGAAAGGCACTCCAATAATTTGCTGATTGATGTAGTAAAAGAGCGATCTCAATTCGTCTGTTTCATCGTGCTGCCCTTGTGGACGCTAGCTTTTCTCTGGTGGGAATCTTGCTCTTGTAACCGGAGTATTAAAGCCAAACCCAGCAGTCTGCCCTCTGTCAGCACCGTCAGCCTCCTTAGCTCCAGCTGTCCCTCTCTCTGGAGCTTATTCAGTCTGAAGACCAGAGCACACAACCCAGCACAGCTCTCTTTGGCCTGGATCAAACACGAAGGGGTCTCCGGGGGCTTGTACGGAGGATTTTCCCAGCCCAAAGTAGTGTCCGGGCAAAGCAGGAGGATTACGGAGCAGACGTGTGGAAGGGAGCAGCCAAAGCACAAGCGACAAGCTGCTGACGAAACACAGGCGACTTAAAGAGGCCATTCCCAACCAAAGCTCCTACGACCCGAACTGGGGGAGGCTCAAAAATATACAAGCAATATTACACCACTTGTTTAGATCTGGTGGGACTTTCTAGGATATATTTTTTAGATATCATGATGTGATTATGATTATGATGAGAAAAGATTCAGAATCACTTTAGGTGTAAAGTGAGGTCTTCAAAAACAGGTGTAATGTGAGATCTTTGAACACAGGTGTAATGTGAGGTCTTTGAACACAGGTGTAATGTGAGGTTTTTAACACAGGTGTAATGTGAGATCTTTAACACAGGTGTAATGTGAGGCTTTTAACACAGGTGTAATGTGAGGCTTTTAACACAGGTGTAATGTGAGGCTTTTAACACAGGTGTAATGTGAGGTCTTTAACACAGTTGTAATGTGAGGCCTTTAACACAGGTGTAATGTGAGGCCTTTAACACAGGTGTAATGTGAGGTCTGTAACACAGGTGGAATGTTAGGTCTTTAACACAAGTGTAATGTGAGGTCTTTAACACAGGTGTAATGTGAGGCCTTTAACACAGTTGTAATGTGAGGTCTGTAACACAGGTGGAATGTGAGGTCTTTAACACAGGTGTAATGTGAGGCCTTTAACACAGTTGTAATGTGAGGTCTTTGAACACAGGCTCTTACTGTTCGAATCTGATGTTCCTCAGGTCTCCGTTGTTAATGCGGATGATGCAGTCGTTTTCCTGGAACAGACTCTGCTCCTCGGCTTTTCCTCCACATTCCAGACGCTTAACCAGAAGACCCAGAGTCCTGCAAGACAGCGCAGATACGTGAGAAAGTCTGCAAACCTGAGTGACGCTCGGGTCTCATCCACAAATAAGATAAGAAATGTACCCGTCCCTGGAAGTATCATGACCTTGTAGTATTCCCTTTGTCACTCACACACTCACACTTGTGGCATACAGTATGTGTAGGAGTCACTCCATTGCTGTAACTGCAGATATTAGAGTTAGCTCTATCGGCGAGTACCCACGGAAAAACTCAAATAATAATATAGTTGAGTGAAGGAATTGCAGGAGTTCTGCACTGGATCAAAGATATAATAAACACTTACAGGTGCTCATCCAACTCGTGGGTTTGAGAAAAATGTTGAATATTGAACCAACACATTTCGACAAAAGTCTTCGTCAGGGCAGGGACGAAGATTTTTATTGAAACACATTGGTTTCAAGAAAAAAAAGTTTGCAGAAGGCCTCTTCAATTTCTTTCATTGCAATAACTGTATAGGTCTGGCCCTATATAAATATATGTACTAAAATATTTTAATAGCCTATTGCCGCTTTTCCATAGTCACTGTACGGCACAGCGCGGTCGTGTGCGGGTGTTTTTCCATTAAAAATAGTACCTCCTAGTATCTCCTCAGCGTTGTCAGACCACGTCATTTACGCGCAACGTAAATCAGAAACATTGGTGCGGTGCATGGATTTATTATAATATCGGTGATAGCTGGTTATTACCCCCTAGGGGACTCTGCTTACCCCCTGGAGAACTGGCTCCTAAACCTTTTCAGGACACCGGGCGAGTGACAGATGAACAGCAAGTATCTATTAGAAAATTCAGCACAGCGCGAGTGAAAATGACAGTCTTAAAGGAGTGACTCTGACACTGAACATGTGAAGTCAATGGTGCTGACTCTGTGCTCTGCACAATCTGTGTGAAAACCATGGAGAGACCATGTGACACCTGTAGCAACAGCAGCCTTTTTAACAGTGGTGCAGAGGGTCTGATGCGTAAGATTGTCATATGCAAAAACATTTATTTTGCCTTTGTTTTGACCAAAAATAAAACCTTTTTGTATTTAGCAAATGTCTCCATCCTTGTTCATAAATTTACCACAGTTATACGAATTTACTGACAAATATATTGTATGTAATCTAAATAGAAGTAAAAGTAACTTTTGAATGACAATGAAATGAATGAAACACAGTCTTGGGATGCAATCACAGATTTAGTAAAAACAAAAGTAAAGTGCAAAACCAACAATTTACGTATGTCCAAAGTACGTATGTCTGAGACCAGGTCCAGATGAGGAGAATGTTAAGTACTCCGGTCACTTATTGCTTGTGTGAAGGGATTCTCAAACAAATAAATATACACACAACTACTTATGTACAATCACAAAACAGAATGGCAACAAGCGAAAGAGAAAAATAAAGCACACTAGCACAGGAAGAAAGTTTTAGCTTAGGTTGCTATCGATAGCTTAATGTAGCTAAATGCTAGCTCACTGTGTACAACAGACCATCAAACTTTTACACGAGTGAATACATTTCAGTGAGAGCTTTGGGCCAACGGGATACGTAGCTAAACAGTAAATTCCAGAATTACCACAGACTAGTCACAAATCAAGAGCTGGGCGATCTCCCTGAAAACCTTCTCGTTCCGTGTTGTGTGTTTGAGCTGCCTTTGAATTCTTCCTTTGGCCTAAAGAGAGTAACTTGACTTTTGGGGCGTTCTGTGCGATTCCATTTCTCTGGAGTGAGGAGGACGTATTATAGCAGAGCAGCTGGTTTTAAAGATGGCGGGGTTGAGTTGTTTTTACCATAGGGTCGGACGTTGCTTCCAGTTATGACACTCGTTTATCAGTGTAAGGCTGACGTCACATTATTGTGTTGCTTCGGCACACATGGAACCACTGTCGAGGTGGTACAAAAAAAGTACCCTTATCCAAAGCCCAACCCTAGAGGAAATGCAAAATAACTGCGCCGTGCCGTACCGTTACTGTGGAAAAGCAGCATATAAGTACTACAAGGCTGATTATATTTATGCTACTCCTCACGCTCGAACTTCACACAGGCGACAGTGGATCGTTGTGGATTACTTCTCTGGTTTGGAGCCGGTTCTGAGCTACAAACTCTAAATACCGACTATTCAATTCAATGTCTTTTTAAAAGTTCTAAAATCACAACAGCAGACGTCTGACGACTTTACAACGTTGTCAATTCCTCAACAACTGGTCAGAGAATCAAACAGTTCAAACACAGGAAAGGAAATAAGATAACACATATGAGCCATTGGTCCATAGGGAGCGGGATGACCAGAAATGTTAATAATGTAAATAATAAATGTCCTCAAATGTCATTACTGTCCTCAGACTCTCCTGCGTTGGAACGACTCAAAAACTCAGTGGGACTTTTTTGTCTCTCTTCAGTTCATTTAAAAGACCTGCGATCAAATGCATTCGCCCTAATATTGAGTTATTCTACTGGTTTATCTCCGTTTCAGGTCCCACTGCTGACAAAGCTGTAACACTAGTAAAAAAAAGTGAAGGGGGTGGAATACTTTCTGAATGCAAATCTCTCAAACTGGGATCTCAGTGTCCTCGACCTGGCCTTCGTTCAGTGAACACATGTCCCCTTTAAAAACCCACTTTCCCACAGACTTTATTTGATGGAGCTCTCCACAAAACTCCATTTGTTTGATGAGTTTGGGCCGTAAAGCAAACGTCATGATGAAAAGAGGTTTTTAATCAGGCCGCAAAGTTCAGAGTGACGGGAAAGAGGCTGAAGCTCCAAACGTCTTTGAGAAACGCTAACGTTGCCAAACACCATACGTCTTCTTAGAATATCAGAATCTATAATCTACGATATTATACAAATACTGGGATTTCAATACAATATATCACACCATTTCACATCCAACCGATTATGACTTTGATCTGGATATTCTTTGGATGAGCTTGGATTGAAACAGAATTGGAGAAGGTTGGGTGTTTTTGACCAATTTATAGAGAATATTCTTTAATGTGGCACCACCTGCATCCAAATCCTGTCAGATTAAGAAACTAAAAAGGGCATGTGCTGGATCGTATGATGATGGGAGACCTCTGGGAACACGAGGTGCTGCGACTGTGTAAATGTGTGAAGTGAATGGTTGGTGGTGGAGGAGCTGATTGTACATACTAGTGGACTTCTGTCAGTCTGCCCCAGGACAGATGTGGCTATAGCAGTTGTAGTAACAGTTTATCATTACCATGTATTAAGCGAAAGAATAATATCAAGAGACTTTAAGCGTCCAAAAAGCGTGATATTAAAAAAAAGCCATATAAAACAGACACATTTAAAATGAGGTGTAACAGGCCATGGAGCTCAGACTGTATTGACTCCCATTCATTTAAATAGAACACTTTGTTGTTTCACATTATCAATTTGCCTCCAGCCTTCATAAACGCAGACTTCACCTTTGTGACTGGAAAATAGAAAAAGAGCGTCTAGTTTAAGCTCTGAAACAGTTTAGAACAATTGCTATTTAAAAAAACACAGCTTTTGTCAAAGCAGTTCTTTTGCTTTTAGTTTGTTTGAACAAATCAAATGAGAAATGGCTAAGTTCGCCGAGACCTAACCTGAGCTCATCTGGACTTTTACATTTCATGTTTTAGAATCTGAAATGCTGAGTAAAAACACATGTGGCTGGACATGGAAAAGAGGATCTGGAAGCAGAAGTGTGACGCCTTCTGCTTTCGTAACTGTAAATTATGGTGCGATCAAACTTAAAGACACAGCCGTGAAAAACGTCATTTCACCAGAGAAACTCACAAACTCATTTAGACTCATCACATGAATTTGGGAATGGAGCATTTACACAGGACACCACATTGTAATTCATGAAGTAAAGTCTGTTGTGGTGTGGAGGCTAAGCCTCAGGTACACCTCAGAGGAAGGTGTCTGAGTTAAGTACCTGGGACTAACAGGGTTCCCTATTGATAATGTGTATGTATACATTTTAGAACTCGGATCCCTGGGCAGTCCTGTAACTTCCTAGAGCTTTCAGGTACTATTTAGGATCATTGGACAGAACCATCTTGGACAAAAGTCGATACAATAAAAGCAAGCATGTCATCCTATTAAATGTGAGCTTCATTGTTAATGTATAAGTAACATTTTCTAGATGCCGTGTGGGCGGCACTGTCACTCATGGTTTAGCCAAATTGTTCTTGCGGTTGAGGTTACACAATTGTATTTAGTAAATTTGGATTCACCAAAAGAGTTGTGAGTATTAGTGGATCATTCTCTTTGAGTAAGGTTCAGTTCAATTATAAAGGTTATATGAATAAGCAAGTGTTGCTTAATGTTATTCCCTATGGTTTGAATTGTAATTTAGTGGTGAGGCTTTTGTCTCACAGTTTCACACTTTTACAAACAGTAGAAAAGTCTTGTGTTTCACCACATCTGCAGCTCGTCTTCCCAAAGAGGCTTCTGTCTGAACACAAGGCACATTCTCTCCATTCCTCCGGCTGCAGCTCCAGCTGTTCGGGAGCGTGCACAAGAGAGTGTGCACGAGAGAGAGAGTGTGCGAGAGAGTGTGCACGTGAGAAAGTGCACGTGAGCCCAGGAGTCTTCAACTGCTTCCAATCATGACAAAACACTGTCTTCTTCCAGCAGTGAAAAAAGCAGCAATGGAGGGAAATAAGTCAGTGATTTATTTAAATAGGGTTTTTCACAGACAGAAAGAGCTTTACATTGTTGTGGGCATTTCTCCTCTCACCAAAGTCATGGGAACCAACAGGAGGCACGTGCCAGACCTAATGTACATATTTTCCAAGGTAGGAGTTTCCGCTGCACCCAGAGGAAACCTACACAGACACGGGGAGAACATGCAAACCCCACACAGAAAGAGTCTGGACCAGGACCATATATAACTTTATAGTATGTATGTGTGTATGGATAACACTCGTTTTTTTTATATCTAATCATTCTAGTAAGTTCAGCGTGTGTGAGCACCACAGGCTCATGTTTAAACCATATATATATAAAACCAACAAAGAGCGCCCCCTACAGTCCCCCTAAGGAAACACAAAGCTTCTGTTTACCTGCGGTCACGTCCACTGAACGGCACCACGTGGATCCCCAGAGGACCGCCATCGTTGGAGACCTCCACGAGCTTCACTATGTCTCTGTGAGGGGAGGGTGAGGAGGGGAGAGAGGGTGAGGAGGGGAGGGAGGGTGAGGAGGGGGAGGACAGGTGAGTCAAAAAGTATTAAACCTGGTGTTAAATATGAAGACAGTTTAGCACCAACCAGCAGTTTGTGAGGAAAAGTGGAAACATTAAGAAATACGGGAAATGGAAGCAGGAAGTTAATTTTGCTTTGCCTTTGTGTAATGTGAACGAAACAATGGATTTAAGACTTAAATTCAACAGAAAGAGTCTTGTCAAAGCAAAAGAAAAACCTACATCTTCATCTCATTAGAAAACACGTCATGTTTTGTGTGAAAGATCCCTGTGAGTCACTATTTGACTCTTTGGGCTTATAGCGGATTGGCTGAGGGAGGGTGGTCGATTCTCTCTCACTTTTCTGTCTGAAAAAGCTGATGTAAAGATGTGACAGAGGTCAAAAATACATGCAAATGAAAACTAGTGACAGAGGAACAGTTGGAGCTGCGCCTCATTCACACGTCGTACCTGCAGATCAGGCTGCAGCAGCAGGAACAGAGCGGGCGTTAGACAGGAACATTCAGAGTAAACACCTCGTACTTCTGAGAGTCTGAGAGCCCTGGGACCAGCACACATCTCTCTGCTGGTGTCAGCGTCGCCTCCTGCCCAGCAGGGCCGTCCCAGTGGATGTACAGTAATATTATAACACTGTTCTTTAACATGTGCACTTATGATTATTGTTTGCAAGATACGTTTTTTTTTTTACTGCTGAACATATTCACTCATTCCTGATGATGCGGCTGCAGAGGCGCAAGAATAGATAAAGCGCAGGGCTGTCTGCACTCGCACATATTTACAATATACGACTTAAATTCAATTTATATCTGCAGCTGCTGCCTCCCCTAGTGTCTCCCCCATTGCCTCCCCCACTGCCTCCAGTCCCTCGTCCCCTCCCTCCCTCGCTCCACTGCTCTCTCCAGGACCAACCATAGCCCTTGCTGTCGGAGCGTAATTTTTCAAGTCCATTTTCTGACCCAGTATTAAAAAAAACATGCTGTAGGCTCTGAGGGAGAGGCTCGAGACAAGATGAAAGCTCCATTATGTAATTTAAATTTCAGTAAAGTTTATCTCATCTTAAAACAGGTTATGATGGACACGTTCTTTTCACACTGTTTTTTGCAGAAGCTTCATAACAATAGAATGAAAAAAGGTCTGATCTTTATTTATCAATTTTTCCATTGTGATGTCTGCAAATGTCTGCACTATATTATGCAATCATGAATAACATCTGTGTGCAGCACTAGTGGATACACACATGTGGCTCTGATTGTGCAAAAACAGGGACTTTGTGATAATTGATGTGGTTTATCATGTGACCAAACACTGCAGTATTTCACTTTTGACTCACTGTAGGTTTGTGACTGGGGAGTTTTCCACACAGGAGTCGGCTCGTCCCACTGGTTCTATCCTCCCATTCTCCTCCTGAGAGTCCTCCTCCTGCAACAACACATAACACTTTCAATCACTGCAAAAGGACCATTTCCTGTGTGTATGTGGACGTGTCACAGAGCTCCGTCACTTCAGCAGAGACCTGTAGTCCTGCAGTGACTCAGACTGTTCTGCTGCTCAGACACTTGTGAACATGAGGCTCGGTTCTCTTCATAACATACTATACCCACGCTGAAATGTAGAAATAAAATGTGGCCATGTAAAACCAAAAAGTCTCCCTCATTGTTAGTGGTTGCGTGAAGCCATTTCTTATCAAATAAATGTTTTCTGCTCTTCCATCACAGAGGAACGAGTGAGCTTTCTCAATAAAACAGAGTGGAGCTTAAGCAGGACGAGAGCGAGCGGAGTTTGTTTGTGGATTTATAGAAAACCGATGGATTTAAAAGAAAAAAAGTCCAGGACAAGAGACACTGAAATCCTCACAGAATCCTCCTTTGTGAAATTGAAAATCTATGTCTCTGAGGACGAGGCGTATTAGTGAACGCTGTGGTCTATGGGGAAATCTCCTTCCAGCCCGTGTGTATTTAAGCTACAGTACCGCAGGCCTCTTGTTCACATGGAGACGGTTTTAAGCAGCAATACCCTATCCACATTTGTGATCTCCCCAGAGTAGCTTAATGAGGCTACCAATTGGGAACAGAAAAATTAAAGAAAACTTATTAGTTAACATAGAACAAAACAAGCTTGTAACTGATTAAAAGAGTTTATAGCTATTGCTAATTTTTAACCCTGGTTGGGCCTTTCTACACTACATTAACAGCATCTGAGTGTTTGCTCTCGATGATGAAGTGTGGAAAAAGCAGCAGTGATCTCTGACCTGTGAGATCCACCCGAGCGGAGGAGGGCGACCCGAGGAGTAGAAGCACATCTGTGGGATATTACACTCTGCTCATAATAAAGTGTGCGTTTGCGAGCGCTGCAGCCGGAGCAGACGCGAAAGACGAGACTGTGGTATTAAACATTCAACAGGCCGCGACACTGTTACTATGGACACAAGACAAGCAGGAAGTGTGTCAGGGACGAGCTACAAACATGGAAAGCAGACACAAAGGCTGTTTTAACTGGAGACGACTGACGGAAAGCAGTCAGGTTTTCTTTAGATTGTGTTCACATGACAGATCAATGAAGAGGCAGCGTTTCTTCTGTCTCACATTTGTCTCTTTGATTCTCGGATTAGACCATCACAGTCTCTCCAGGTGGAAGACAGTGAGAGCGGATCCATCTGTCACATACACAACCAGGCACATTGCTTTGACTACGCACACACACACGCCACTCTATCTATATACACACACACACACACACACGCACGCCCACACTACACACACGCGCGCCGCTCTGTTGGATCCATCTGTTCTCTCTAATCAGCAGCTCAAACGGCAGGCGAAGGGTGAGCGCCGCGGGACTTTCTGACACTTGGGTCCATGATCCACAGAGGACTTCAACAAGTGGATTTGTGTTCTGGTAATCCAGGCACAAGTGTTCCACCTGCGCACCAGCGAAAAACATGAGTGCCAGATTTAAGGACACACCTCTCAGATTAGATCATTATTTGCACAGAACATAAACGATAAATGTAAATACAGTATCAAATTCAAAGCAGAGAGAACTAAAGGTGCGATTGGTCTCCAACCTGTAGCCACCGCCTCCAAGAAGCCAAGGATATACATATTAAACATGTTATGTTTCCCAAGCCAAGACTTACTGTAAATATTTCAGTTATGCAGTATTGAACGGCATAACAGAGTCTCTGCCAAAAGTATCTGAGAAAAAAGGTTGGACACCACTGTAGGTGGAGAACAAACACTTTGACTAAATGCTCAACCTGCTATACTGCACCTGTCTCTCTAAAGTACATCTGTGACAGATACAATTGTCCTTTATTCGTCCCACAGTGGGGAAATTTCAATGTCATTATTGCACACCAGCATAAAGGGAGGGAAAAAAAGAGACACAGATTGCACACATCAAACAGGATCAATTATTTAAGACAAAAACAAAATTATAATAATTAGATAATAAAACAAAACTCTAGAGCTGTAATTACAGTTGGTTCAAGGTATGAACCAACTGGGACTTTTATACAACTAAAATCTTGTCTTCTTGAAAATGTGAGGCTTCTACTCTGACAATGTTCAAATCAAGGTTAAAAACAGTTGTTTGGCTGCAACAACTGAGGGGTTGTATCTTCTCTCTTTTTAATGTAATGTTGGTTTGATAATAACAAACATCCGCTTTGTGTCACATTAACACATGTAACAAGTGAATCCTCTCAAGATCTTGTTTCAGGGACAAAAATGATGTCAGATCATGTCAGTGCGGACGGCGCCACAAACACAGGTTTATGTCGGAACAGTTGTGTGTCCTCAGATGCCAGAAATATAGAAATCTGGGAGTAAACATTCGAGTGTGTGCCTTCCGTGAAGCACAACACGCTCGCACCACAAAGACCTGCCACGTGTCCTTCACCTGACATGTTCCTGAACCCAGAGTGTGTGTGTGTGTGTGTGTGTGTGTATGTGTGTGTGCGTCTGTACTGATGCTGTGTGTGTGTGCGTCTGTACTGATGCTGTGTGTGTGTGCGTCTGTACTGATGCTGTGTGTGTGGGCGTCTGTACTGATGCTGTGTGTGTGTGTGCGTCTGTACTGATGCTGTGTGTGTGTGTGCGTCTGTACTGATGCTGTGTGTGTGTGTGTGCGTCTGTACTGATGCTGTGTGTGTGTGCGTCTGTACTGATGCTGTGTGTGTGGGCGTCTGTACTGATGCTGTGTGTGTGTGTGTGCGTCTGTACTGATGGTGTGTGTGTGGGTGCGTCTGTACTGATGCTGTGTGTGTGTGTGCGTCTGTACTGATGCTGTGTGTGTGGACATCTGTACTGATGCTGTGTGTGTGTGCGTCTGTACTGATGCTGTGTGTGTGGACGTCTGTACAGATGCTGTGTGTGTGCGTCTGTACTGACGCTCTGTGTGTGCGTCTGTAGGGATGCTCTGTGTGTGCATCTGTACTGACGCTCTGTGTGTGCGTCTGTAGGGATGCTGTGTGTGTGTGTCTGTACTGATCCTGTGTGTGTGTGTCTGTGCTGATGCGCTGTGTGTGTACTGATGGTCTGTGTGCGTCTGTGAGGATGCTGTGTGTGTGTGTGTGGGGGCGCGGCTGTACTGATGTTCTGTGTGTGTGCGCCTGTGCTGATGCTGTCTATGCTGATGCTATGAGTGTGTGTGCGTCTATGCTGATGCTCTGTGTGCGGCTGTGTGTGGCTGTGTGCGGCTGTGTGTGCACGGATTTGTGCATGGATGTGTGTGCATGGTTGTGTGTGCGGCGAGCTGAGGCGCTGGGGCCTTGTTAGCGCCGCGGTGCCCTGTCAGTGCTTTAACAACAGCCCACACACTTCATGAATAAAACAACAGTTTGGAAACGAGCAGAAAAGTCGGGGCTGAAGTGACGGCGGCGGCTGCTGTGGTCACACGCAGAGAACATCCAGCGGCTGCAGCGCGGCACAACTCCAATATGTCATCTGGAGCACCGTCCCTGAAGAGAGGACGAGACACTCCTCCAGCCTCATTACACACACACACACACACACACGCACGCACGCACGCACGCACACACAGACACTACCGCAACATCTCAAAACATGAATTTACGAGTTTACGGTTTTCTCAGTCATTTCAGAAGTGATACTTATTTTTATACAAACGCCTGAAAAAAAGTAAACAAAAAACTAAAAGCAGCTACTTTTATCCTAGTTCTTTGATCCCTGCAGCTTATATAGCGATGCGGATTACATAGCGATGCGGCTTATATGTTTAATTTTATTGTGGTAGGGCTGTCAGAGCAGTTGCCAGAGTTTATGGACTTACTAGTTTGACTACATCTAAGTTTTAGTAGCTATAGGACGCTCGTTTATTAGTAATAACAAAACATTTTATTTCTTAAGCGCCTTTCTAGACACTCAAGGCTTATGACACCAAAAGTAAAAACATTTAGTTCAAAAGCAGCATGAACAGAGGATTGTGTTGTTATGATGTTAGACGAGTCGGCTTGTCTAAACAGATGAGTTTTGAGGGTGGATTTGAAGTGTGTGAGTCAGTGTTACAGAGGTCAGAATAGAATGAGTCACTAAAGCAAATGGTTAAGCTTTTAAATACGTCATTTAATCACAGTGTGAAGAGTCGTGTCTTTGCTACATTACGACATGAAAACCTGCGACTTACAGAGGGAGAAAAAAGGATTTAGTCAGAGACCAGTTGTGCAAGTTCTCCCACCTAAAAAAAAAGAGGGAGACCTGTAATTTTCATCATAGGTAAACCTCAACTATGAGACAGAATGAGGAAAAAAACAGAAATTCACATTGTCTGATTTATAAATTACAGGCCTCTCTCATCAAATTAAGTGGGAGAACTTGCAGAATTGGTGGCTGACTAAATACTTTTTTACCCCACTGTAGTATATTCCAGCCTGGCCTGTATATGGACATCGATTTCGCTTTGGAAATTTAGGTAGAACGTATGATAGTTCCATATGTGAAAAATAAGCAGACCGCTAAAAGAGACGAGGGGGCCTTAACCTTTAACCTGGCAAGAGCCAGATGGATGATTGTGTAGAACTCTAATGCGTTCTCCACAATATCAATCTGGGACTTCTGCAGGAGAATCCTTTCGGGGAAAGGAGGGATAAGCAGCAGAATACTTCAAGCTGATTGGGCGAATTGACGCTGTGTGCCCGCCTACCAAGGTTTGACTTAAACCCGTAGGTAAAAATGCACAAACATCTTTGCCATCCAGAAATGCACAAAGCGCCTCTCGCTGTTCATCTTTCAAAAAAGAAAGTGGAAATTCTGCTAAAACTGACTTGATAACCTCAGCTACGCGTCCGTCCTCCTGCGTAGCCATGTTTGTTTTGCTTTGGCCCGGCACTTCTTGCTTTCGTCAAACCCGGATATCCCGCCCTAAACCCCCAGACTGGCGCGTGATTTGCTTGAACACTA